TATATAAAACCCGCGCCCTATAGTCCGGTGCGCCTTATGTGTGTCTTAAATACAGTAATGGCACACATAACTGAGACTGCGCCTTTTAGTACGGTGCGCCTTATGGTAGTGAAAATACAGTATTTGTTTTCTGTCAGCCTGTCTGTTCAGTTTTGTTCCAAGGTTCATGTCCTGGATCCTGGCGGCCAGTGGAAAGAGGGTTTTGTGTCTGTCTCATCTCCTGTCCACTGTTCCTCCCCTGCTGAGTCTTCAGGGTTTTTGGCTCTATATGTGGGGAGGTTCAGTTTTTATCCTAGTAAGCCTGGCTTCAAGGAAGAGACCAGTTTAAAGGTCCTGCTTCAAGTTCTGGTTCCACGTCCTGTCTATGCTACCCTCTGCCACTGAGCCTGCTCGTCTGCACCTGATCCTGTCTGCTCCTGTGCGTGACCACCTGATCACGCCTCCGGACCCTGTCAGACTCTGAACCCGCCTGGGAGCTCTAGGATGCCTGGAAGCCTGGATCCTGCCTGTTCTGTCTGTTCCTGTCTGTTCTGAATCCCTGACCAGGATCGGCTTCCTGCAAGACCTCTGGAACTGCAGCACTGGGGACATTCTTAGACTGGACTGTTAAACCAGGTAAGTGACCATCTCAGATAATCATCTTCTGTCAGGTGATCGTGCTCATTACCTGTGTTTCTCCCACAACAGAGTGTCTGTGATTGGGCGGTGCCACGCCCCCCACCTGCAGTCGCCGCATGCCACAGATCCTAGCAGCTCCCCTTTTAGTTTTGTTCAGTTGATAAACGTTTTGAAACAGTCTTCTATAAACTCTGTGGAACTCACTTGGATTCTTTAGGGCTGTGAAAGTGCCAAAGTGTGGGTATCATACTAGTAAATGGTGGACAAATGGACATTGATGCACATTGAAGCACTGTGCACACCAAAAAAAATCCAGCACCACCTAAAAAGACCTCATGCCTTTTAACATAAGGCATGAGGTCACAGTATATGTATTAATGACAGTTGAACACCCAATAAACAAACGTTGTTCTTAAGTAATAGATAAATGAAGCTTAAGCATAAATTCAATCAGGAAGACTATAATCAGCTTCACATGAAACACCTGTGATGTCCCTTATTCAACTCCAGCCAATCTACTCGGGGGGCACATCTTCTCCGAAGCCAATCATCTTTCAAGGTCCCCTTAATTTAGCTCCTTGCCCAGCTTCTGTCTCTCGCATGCAAGTGAACTTTTTAGTAACAACCCACCTTCGATACTAACCACCATGTAATTATATATCATTGGATGTTATGCCCCTGTGTAACATTCAGCTGTACAAATGAAAAAAATTGTCACACGGAAATCTGAATCCAGTTGTACATTCTAGTCCACTGACTATAGAGTGTATTAAATCAGCAAACAAACAGACGAAAAAAAAAATAAAAAATTTGTACCCTTGCACTCAAAATAGGTTAGCTCTGCACCTGCTGTGGGTGGAAGGTCAGTCAGACTTGAAAACAGAACATTTCTGCAATAACAAACGTACAGTCATACTAATTTCTAATAATGCATAATAAAATATGTAACTTACTT